ACAAATTGTATTGTGATTGGGGGACACTAATTTTTGACGTCACTATGGCGTTGTGTTAGTCGTGTAATAAAATCAATCGCAAAAAATACAAAAGCAGCTGCATAGAGGTCATGAACTAGCAGTGGTATTAGCAACATCAATATGATTTGCCATAATTTCGGTAGTAAACGTTTCGTAAGTACAAGAAGCTTTATAGTAAGGAAAGACTTAAGGAAAGCAAAGATAGGAGCAGAAGCGTGTCAAGAGAAGGACTTGCTCGTTTGTCCTTATTTAAACATTTGTATGTTTATTAGTGGTAGACTTGCTACTAAGTCCAGAAACTTCGATGTCTGTATTAGTATCGCCTATATCAGTGGCCTGAGAAATGTTTGCAATGTCAATGAAACTATTTTTACATTAGTATTAGTAGCTATTATGACAACAGTAGCAGTAGGTATAGCAATGACTGTGACACCAGAGATTATAATGTCAGATATAGCTATAGTGGTACCAATTGTAGTAGTAATAAAATATTGGTAATAGTACCCATCTTATTGAATTGTAACTATGCTAGTATTGGTGCCAGTAATGAGAGTTAGGATTTTTTAGTATAAAACGTGGTGCTAGTAGCAATAAGGGTGGGGATGGTGGTAGTACCGGCAGCAGTGGATCACAAAGATGGCCGTAACATTAAGATTGGCCACTAGTGCAGTAATCATTGCGTGGTTACGTTTTGCCCCTACACCGGGCCACGTGGGAGTTGCGCTGGCCAAACAGGAGGCCAGATGAAGGCACGGCACGCGTTATTCGGACTGTGTCCCCACTACTGCTGCTTCTCGTCAGTCCTGTAAGCCTAGCTCAAGGTTGATTAACCTTGGCTCAGTCTACAGCGGTCGCATCTCAACTGTTGGAGACGGCGATAAGTCAAATGAAACAACATGTGGACTGCAGGTCAGATGAAACGGAGGTCGGATGAAACCACAAATATGTAGGGCTCTAACCTACTCAAACAGATAAAGTAGGTATTATTTCTAGGCAACGGATATTTGGGTGCCCTCTCCCGGTTGTTACCATGTGTCCTCATAACAAATGCCACACATGGGGGTTCAGTGGCACGTCAAGGCGCGGACTCACACCGCGCCGGACACCCGTGTTCGATACTCGCACAGATGCCTGATCGGTCCGGACAGTGGACTAGTCCCTAGGATTAGGAAGAGCGAGAGCGAGGTCGACCCTAAGGACTCCGTTTCCACGGCACTCAGCACAGATTCTTCATTTTAAAAATACAGCGTGCTTTGGAACTATCACAGTGTGCCAAAAACTGCGACTTGGAAGGTTTCCAACTAACTAAATTCCCTCAGGACGGAGAGTCAGACCACAATGGCTCCTTCTGTATGGCAATCCCACTCACTTTGGATCTGAGCTCCTTTGTTGTTTAAGAAACCCTCATTCTTTGTGCTTGGACCAAGCGTATGCGGTACATGTAGATGGGGACTGTTTAAATCTGGCGGCCATTGCACCCGAACCCGCCTTCAATCTTTTTGGCTATTCCTTGACGCCAGTTTCAGATAGATGAGGTGGCAGAGAGTCTGCCAAGTCTGCTCGAGCAACTCGCCGTCTCTATGCCCACCCTGCTGTGTGGCACACGGTGGACGTCATCGTAAGCGATGGGCCAAATGTCTAATATGGTTGCGTAACAAATATTTGTGGGATTAGCATTAGTGCACATGACAATATAAGGCACAACATGTCAACTCTCCTTATTAGTAGTAATGATAGGGGTGATCGTGTTAAACATCATAAAGTTAGAATAGACAGGAAAACCATAAACCAATGT